CGGGGAGATCTCGTTAGCAACCGTGGGTTACCTCCTCCGAGGGACTCCCGTAAGTTCGAAAGAACGTGTTATGTTTTGTTTTTTTTTTTGAAAGTGTTGTTTAATTTTGAAAAATCGTTTTGTTTTGAAAGTGAGATTGTATTCAGTACTTGCATAATATGTTAGAGCAAGAGTAATTGCAGTAAGGAAATAACAACAAATAAAATGTGCATGCGTACGTGGCGTATCTGCTGCTGCTATTTCTGTTGCATGTTTAACTCACAAAGCACAATATAATTTGCAGGGAGTTTAAATAAATTGCTGAGAAAATAAGAAAACAATAAACAGTAGAACAAGTTGTAGCAATAACAAGGAACTCGAAAGAGCTGATCCTACGGCCTCCTACAACTCCTTACTGCAACTAGCAAGCTAGTATGGTGATCCTACGATCTCCTACGGCTCCAGTAAGCAACTAGCAAATGTGTACGGTGATCCTACGACTCCGGAAAGCAGCTAGAAATTTCGAATAGCGCCTGTATGAGTTCCTATGAACCCAAACGACAATGGGCAGCACCTACAATTCTTACAATTCCGAACATAGGTGGGCAGCAACTAGATGGCTTCCAAACGAACCCAAATCGTGGTAGACATCTCCTACGTGGCTTCCTAAATCGTGGTGGACACCTCCTAGGTGGCTTCCTACAGACCCAAACGGTGATGGACAGCTATTAGGAGGCTTCCTACGAACCCAAATAGTGGTGGACAGCTACTAGGTGACTTCCTACGAACCAAATAGTGGTGGGCAGCAACTATACGGTTTCCTATGACACTGGGCAGCAACTAGAAGCATTGGACAACACCCTACAACGATTCCTACGACACTGGGCAGCAACTAGCACTCCAAATCATTAATTTCAGCACATCGCAGCACTCCAAATCATTAATTTCAGCACATCGCAGCACTCCTACAACACTCTACAGTGATTGGCAACTTCAAACAGCATTTAAGTGGAGCACAAAATCCTTCAAAACAATGATAAACCATCCTGAAACGATACATTAAAAGACTCAAAAAACTGCAGCGAAACATCCTCCAAACCACCTCAAAACAGGTGTTCTAAATCACTTCAAAACAGCTAACATATATTTTAAATAGCAGAAAATAATTTCAGCAAGCTATGAGGCCTCTCCCAATCACTTCCAAAAGCACCATCCCTCGTTTGAGTAGCTGAAAATTTCACCTCATAGCCACAATCTCATAGCCAAAATTATTGGAGCCTCCTGTAATATCTATATAAAAGTAATGGAAGCTTTAAATATAAATGTCATGGAAGCTTAATATCTATATAAATGTCATGGAAGCTTTAAGAGCAATGTGGTGCCTAGGTATTCCCGTTTTCTCCCAACTACAATTTTAACCCGCATTGATGCATGGATTGATGCATGGAAATTCTCCAAACAGCATACCAACAAGCTTGATTTGCTTTATAGAATAGCTCTTTCAAATTCAACAGATGATGGCAATTAAAAATAAAAAAAACTGCAGCAAACAGGAAAAGATACGAACAGCGAGCCTCAGAGTAAAACCTTGCTTACCGTGGCTCAGAGCAGGAAGGGGATGTATGGTGAGGAGAGAGACACGACTTGGAGAGAATTGAACCGAAGACTTGTCGTGTCGAGGAAAGGGGAAGGACGAGCGGGTGGGCTTCGGTCTCACGAGAGAGGGAAGCAAGCGGACGGGCTCAGTGCTGAGGAGAGCGGGACAGCGGAGGAGGGGAGTCGAACGCAGCTTTTAGGTGTAGTGCAGATAAGAAAGCGAAGCTGAATTTGTCGAGCGAGGAAAAAGATGACGGAAGCGAGAACTGGATTGCCGGATCGCGAGATTGATATCGGAGTCGAATCGAGCGAACTAGGGAAGAAGAAGGCGAGCTAATGGGGTTTGGTCTTCGGTCGAGTGAGATGACGAAGGCTCTGTTCGCAGAGGAGGCGCGGCTTTGTCGTGTGGGAGACAAAATCAAACAGAGAGAGCGGAGGATGAGACTTCGATGCGTGCAGCAGAGAGGGGAAAAAGGCGAGTCGCAGAGGAGCGTATGGAAGACGGGATCGAGCTCTGCGGCTTCAGTGCGGGAGACGGGAGAGAGCAAGCGGCGGTCTTCGGAGTAACGAGGCGAGCGGGCAAGCGGGCGTTCAGGGTCGAGCAGAGCAGCTGTCCAACGAAGTTTAGCGAGGGGAGTCTTCAGTCGAGTGCGAGCAGGGAGGCCGGAGGAGCTGGCGTTCGGGGAGGAGCAGGCGTTCGCGGGAAGGAGCAGGCGAGCGGGTCAAAAGGAGGAGCGGGTAGAAGCAGGCGAGTTTTCCTGTTCGCAGAGAAGGAACGTCGGACCTGTTCGCAGAAGAGGGGCTAAGGCTTCTCTGTTCGCACGCGAGGGGGAAAACGGGAGTCGAGCGGGGGTTTCGTTCGATGTAGAGGGAGGAGAGACGAGTGGGCAGGAGTTTTCCGAGCGAAAGAAGACGAGCAGGAGTTGGGAAGACGAGCGGGACAGGTGAGAATCTTCGGCGCAGTGAAGGATGCTTCAGCTCTTCCTATTGAGAGGGATCGAGCAGAGAAATCTCGAGAGAGGGAGAAGGCGAGCGGGACAGAGGAGCTCGAGGGAGGCGAATCAAGCCGATCGCGGAGGAAGAAGGCACGCCTTCCTTTTAGAATTCGAGCGGAGTCAGGAGTCGTTACTCAAATCAAATCAATTGGCAGTGAATTAAATAGTTTCTAAATACAGGGGAGAATTAAATGGAAGGTTTTAACACCTGAATTAATTTTAATTAAGACAAATTTAAATAATTCGTTTGAATTTTGAAATTTGAATTTCAAATTCAGGTGAGCTGGTGTCTAGCCCGTGCCCAGCCCGAGTCCAACTGTGCTAGTCGCTCGTGCGCGAAACTATAGAGATATGAGTGTCCTTCCTACCTAAAGTCGACTCGAACCCGAGTCGAACCTGGGTTGAGCCCGGGCCCTCGAATTGCTAAAAAAGTGCATCGATATTCGTGCTAGTCTCTCGTGCGCGAAACTATAGAGATATGAGTATCCTTCCTACCTAAAGTCGAAGGGGTGCGATGCATGCGTAAAATGCGGCGTTATCGAGCGTTCGGGTCGCAAAGGGGTTCCCTAGGAGCTGCTCCTATTAATGTAGGAACTCGACTCGAGTTTCATGTGCCGATCCTAATCAACTCACCGGGATGCCGAGGATTTGGGACCGCCCATGCGAAACTCGAAGGAGTGACGAGATGGCATGAATTTTCTAAATGGTGTGGGTTTCGTACTAGTCCTCTAAGAGAGTCGAACGGGGAAAGCCTAAAGCTAGACCCTAGGCTCAAAGAAGAGACAAAAAAGACCTCATCCAGAAATGAGGTCAACACCTGCCAGCCACCCCCACTCGCTAGCCGCCCCCCGCCACCCCAGCCCGCAACAAACACATTATTTTGAAATACATTAATTTCATTTTACTTCAAAACAAAAAAAAAAATTGAGTCGAGCATTTATTTTACATCTAACCAAACAACTCCAAAGTATTTTAAATACAATGCATTACCCATGCATTATATTCATATTACACTGCATTACATTTTCAACAAACAAAACAGCCTCAAAACATCATTTGCATGTAGAGTACATATATAGGGAAACTCCCCTTTCTAATTTACAAACTTATAATATATATCCAATCTAAAATTGGAAAGGAAATAATTATGAAATAAATTAAAGAAACATAGAAATGAAGAGAATAAACTAATCAAGGAATTTCCAAAGTTGTCAGATTCTCCAAGATCTATGAGATAGCCAGCCGGCCAATCTTCACAACTTTGCACATATCTCTAACAGAATAACAAATTTTAAATTACTTGCAAAGTTTCAGGAACGCCCACAAATATTGTTTGTGTTGAAATCAAACCAATTGACTTATTTCTAACATTAAAAGAACATGGCGAATGAGGACATGTTGAAATTGGAATATAAAAATGGTTGCAATTTTTTTTGGGATTGAAATGAGTTCTGAAGACTCCATTAATCAAAACAATTTAACGCCATTATTTCTAAGCAAATAGTGCCACACCAAAATCGAGTAAAATTAATAATCATTGAACTTAAAAATGATAATAAATAAACAATTATTCAATCCTCAACTTCAAACTTTCGAAAAAAGATCAGAAATTCCATACCTATTAAAGTGCTTGCACTCTCCTCTCATTGGACAAATTTTACAGTTTGGCCTGTTTTTTGTGCAAAACACCTGCATGTAACAAAAAAGAAATAATCAACTTATTACAGTAAACAATAAAGCAATTTGATATGCATTCATAACTCATATAAATATAACCCTCAATCTACCTTTCCAAATGTAATCATATGATAATGTAGCTCATATCTGTAAGACAAAGTATACTTGTCTATAAGAAACTAATAATCAAGCAACAAGTGAAAGTAATACAAAGTTTCTCTGAAGGAATTTTGAAGTCATTTTCTGAATCAATTTGTTAAAATAAAAATTATTTTGGAATCAAAGTTTTTGTAAGTCTCTGAAATTTACAAATCCTTTTGATCAAGCTTGCATAACCGTGGCCAAATATATTTCTGCACGCTATCCATTATAGGATACCTATTAAAATACCAAGAAAGATTAGGATGATTAAAAAGGACAAGAAATTAATAGTTTTTAATTTCATAACAAATTTTTGGATGTGATCTGGAGCAGGCAAAAAATTAATAATTAATCTCCAATAAACGGTATCATTAGGAAGAATTAGCATACTTACTGTTCTAGGAGATGTAATTGAAGGAATTCTGGCAACGGCTTCAGTGGCACCCATCCTAGTCTTACGCTTATGCGGGCAACATTGGTATCAACCTTAATAGTAACACATGAAAAAGAGCTTTATAAAATTGAGTAAAATTCAAATTTGAAATTAAATTAGTCTGATAAATATTAACATTACTGGGAAAGCCACATTTTTTAGTGCTAGGAGGCGAACACACTCAACACTTTTTATCCCCAATCCTCTTATGCTTAGAAGGTATTTCCTGTAAGCATCATAAATCACTAATTTAGGTAAATCGATTAGTATTCACATGTACATCAGCAGTTTTGCATGGGAAGGTGGTGAGGTGAAGGGAGAGTTTTATGGGTATAGAGAGATTTTGTTATGAAAAATTCATCATAATCATAAAATGAAATCAAACATGGTGTGGTTTATTACAGAACAAAAATTTAGAATAGTAATCTCATAATCCAAAATGATAGATCATCTCGAAGATGGAAATGAATAAATAAGTTTTATTTTGTGGAGCATGGATTATTGGTCTTACTTGGTGTCATCAGGGCATATGTTTCTTAACCATTCCAGGTCAATGCTTCCATGGTCTCTAACCAAACGATTGAGGAAATCCTGCAAGGAATAAAATATTTCTTGGTTTGAAAGCACCTGTCCCAAATGTGATACTTGAATATAATTAAAAAAAGTTAATTAAAACTCCTTTTTAAGGGTCTTGACTTGGGCTATGTATAAATTGAATGCATTTGATTAAAATTGCTTTATGTTCCAACTTGGTTCTGTTATTTAAGTTTTAACTTCGGAAAGCAGAAAATTTCAAATTCAAATCTGAAACAATGAGAAGAAAATCACAGTGAACTATGATGTAGTTGACTAGCAATTCTTCAGCACTATAAAGAGCAATTTAAAAGTAAATTATTTTAACATCGAATGAATCTTCTCGTGTAAATCCATAGTAATTAGACTTCTGGTGGGAATGGCAATTTTCTGTCGCTATGCTAGGCTAAAAACTTTTGCTGAAAATGTTATCTTTTGTGGGACTGCCACTTTTTCCTTTAACTTTTTTTTTATTGCTTGTAAAGCATAAAAATATCATTCTGACCATAAAAATTAATTATACTTTCAATAAGAAAGGGTGTCAGCTGTTTCCCAACTAATATTCCCCGACATTAACTGAAATTCTATCAAAACTTATCATTTACCGATAAACCCAGGCATGAATAATGTCAACTTACAGCGAATGAAGAGAATCAACCATGCAGAAGAACAAGTAGAAAAAAAGAAACGAAATAATGTAAACCATCCTCATAGTGAATAACTGCAACATGATGGCAAAACTTAGCCAATCTAAAATCAACCTTTCCAAAAGGGAGAGCGTGCTTTTTTTATGCAAATTTGTTTGGAAGATAACATAGTTAGCACATGTCGGTCTAAGCAGTGGGTAAAAGATAGAAAACAATGAAAAAAAATGTAATCGAGCAGGATGAGAAAAGGGTGAAGGGTGTAAATAAATAAAGATCGCTTGTTTTAATTTACTTTCTTAATTCATTTCATTCTCAGCCACAGAAATCCCAAAAAATTTTAATAACGTTTTCAACTATCTTACCATTGTTTTAGTTGTCGTGCCTATGACTGATATTGTTCTAGTGGCCCTAAAAGGTGTCTGGGATGTGAATTTAGTGAGGGAGTTTTAGAAGGGTAGTGAGTCCGGAGTTACCATTGTTTTAGTTGTCGTGCCTATGACTGATAAGGTTCTAGTGGCCCTAAAAGGTGTTTGGGATGTGAATTTAGTGAGGGAGTTTTAGAAGAGTAGAGAGTCCGGAGCTTCCCCGCATGAGACCCGTTCCGCAATCTTGCTATAGTGT